TAAAAGACAACCCTCAGAATGGCAGAAAATATTTGCAAACAAATTAACAGACAAAGAATTAATCTCCAAAATATATAAACAGCTCATGCAGCTCAATATTAAAAAAAGAAACAACCCAATCCAAAAATGGGCAGAAGACCTAAATAAACATTTCTCCAAAGAAGACATACAGATGGCCAAGAAGCACATGAAAAGCTGCTCAACAGCACTAATTATTAGAGAAATGCAAATCAAAACTACAATGAGGTATCACCTCACAGCAGTTAGAATAGGCATCATCAGAAAATCTACAAACAACAAATGCTGGCGAGGGTGTGGAGAAAAGGCAACCCTCTTGCACTGTTGGTGGGAATGTAAATTGATACAGCCACTATGGAGAACAGTATGGAGTTTCCTTAAAAAACTAAACATAGATTACCATATGATCCAGCAATCCCACTACTGGGCATATACCCAGAGAAAACCATAATTCAAAAAGACACATGCACCCCAATGTTCATTGCAGCACTATTTACAATAGCCAGGTCATGGAAGCAACCTAAATGCCCATCAACAGACGAATGGATAAAGAAGATGTGGTATATATATACAATGGAATTTTACTCAGCCATAAAAAGGAACGAAATTGGGTCATTTGTTGAGACGTGGATGGATCTAGAGACTGTCATACAGAGTGAAGTAAGTCAGAAAGAGAAAAACAAATATCATATATTAACACATGTACGTGGAACCTAGAAAAATGGTACAGATGAACCGGTTTGCAGGGCAGAAATTGAGACACAGATGTAGAGAACAAACGTATGGTCACCAAGGGGGGAAACCCGCGGTGTGGTGGTGTGATGAATTGGGCGATTGCTATTGACATGTATACACTTATGTAGATAAAATGGATGACTAGGGCTTCCCTGGTGGCTCAGTAGTTGAGAGTCCGCCTGCCGATGCAGGGGACACGGGTTCGTGCCCCGGTCTCTGAAGATCCCACATGCCGCAGAGCGGCTAGACCCGTGAGCCATGGCCGCTGAGCCTGCGTGTCCGGAGCCTGTGCTCCGCAACGGGAGAGGCCACAACAGTGAGAGGCCCCCGCACCACAAAAAAAAAAAAAAAAAAAAAAATTAGACGCTTTAT